AACCTCACGCTGGCGAAGTTCTGCGAGAAGTACACTGTCGGGAAGACGACGTTTGATCTGCTTCACCAGGCGGGGTTCGGGACGGCGGCGGGCCTGCTGGAGGTGTCGGATGATGATTTGGCGGACTGTGGGTTGGGGAAGGGGCATATTGGGGAGTTGAAGAGGGCGTTGAGGGAGTGGTCGTCGGTGGGGGGACAGAAATAAAGAAGTTCGAAGTCATCCGGGTTTCGTTTTCGGTTTTGTGGCAATGTATAGTCTTCGTCCGTGTAAAGAGCCGGACAACGTTGGGTTATGAAGTAGTGGACGAGCTCTTGCATGAACAGAGAACTTTGGCGTTTCCGTGAAAGATGTGAATATTTATTGTGATGTCCTGACGTGCGAAGAGAGTGAAATGTACAAGTCCGTGGAAATAAATACTATCGCGGTGCACAAAATCCGGGAGTGGGTATGAATGACCAGTGATTCGGGAGCGCCCATTGTGGAACCGAGGGAAAAGGAACATGAGACGAGACACAGATCCAGGGCCAGACAGAGAGCAGAGGGATACAGATACAACCTGTGTGTCCCCATTACTCTTTTCTTTTCAGAGTTTGGGCCACCGGAGGCGACCCCCCACTCCGATTTTCAATGTGCCATTTCCACCTAAACATTGCGAGCGGAGCGGCGGCGGTGGCGAATACACGACGTATCCGAGCGGGCATTGAAGACAATGAATTCCGCTTGTGTCCCCATTCGGATTTGCATTTTGACGTTAACCTTTTTCTCAGAATTTTTGCCGCCGGAGGCCAACGCCCCGCTATGCCGTCACACCAGCGGATCAATCCGACTGCTCCCCTTATCCCTGCGAGTCGCCGCACAGCGGCTGCACCAACATATACACTACATATTTCGGGTTCCCGCGAGCGAGGTTTCGGTGTTCACCGCAGGTGGGTGCCACTTTATTACCATTTTCATCGCATTTTGAAACCTTTTTTCCAAAGTTTTGCCGCCGGAGGCCAACGCCTTCAAGCCAGCGGACCCCCATCCACCCTGTTCATGTATCCCTGCACGGGTGAGCGCCCATCTTCTCGTCGTTTTGGCGCCTGCATTGCAACTTGTGCGACTTGCTGCGAGCTCTATCGATGTGAACATACCAAAATTCGATTTTTGGTCGTCCCGCGAGGGAGGTTACAGCACCGGTGAGTAATTCCTTCAACTTCCAGGTTTCTCTCATTCTTGGCTCAAAAATAGGTTTTGAAGGTCATTCACGGCGTCGGTGTCCGTCCCACTATCATACTGACCTCACGATCCAACCTCGGCTTTTGCTCTTTTCGTGAGCACTGCAACATTTTGGTGAGTGCAGTATTAGTCGTGTCGAGTCCACGGCTTTTTTTCATTTCTAAGCGTAACGAGGCTTTGCCCTGGCTTCGAATTCCAGGGGCGTCGAATTCCGGTGCCTTCAAATTCCACGCTAGTTAACCCGGAATTCAACCCCAGCACCCAAATCGACGCGATCTTTTCGCCTAGGTACGGCTTCTTCGCGTTCAAATACATTAATTACCTTCAAAATCCAGCCGCATCCGCTCATCTTCAGCTTCAGCGGTGCACTCGGGCATCTCGGGCGATATCCAGATTGCGCCTAGAACCCGCTTTGCCAGAGCTTCAAATTCCTGACCCATTCCTTCAATTTCCCGCTCAGTAGTCAGCAGTGTCGAGTAGTACTTCTGTATCAGTACTGCAAGGAAACATTATTGTTACATCAATACAACTCTTGTGATCGTCTTAATCCTCCTTACAAGACTGCTTCAAACAGTGAAGGCGAAATTCCACCCTCTTTAGGGCCGGTCTGTGGGTTAGATGGCAAGCGGCCTCTAGTCTGCCCGCCGGTCGAGTTTTGCGGCCCGTCTCATGTCCACATATCTCCCTCCAGCCACTCGCAAAAAATTGCGATATCATCCTTACAGCATGAACTGTGAACGGAGTCCTTTCAACACACACAGAGTCGACAGGCTGAATATAATTCTGGCCGTCGCTTTGACCGGGCATTCAATGTGGTTGCCGCCGGGGATCTCGGGCGACAAACGGAGGGAGTGGGCCAGAATTCTAGGGTGTAGGGGACGAAAAGGATGGAAAACCGTGGGGAAGAAGTTTGGAGAGAGGTTTTTTTTTTTATCGAGGAGCCGCGGGACAAGCGAGCAACAAGTGATCAATCATGGTTGAACTGGTGTAGTTCAACCGTGCATCAATTGAGTTCAAGTTCAAACACATGCGTGTACGATTCAACTCTTCCCGTGAAATGCTGACCTTAAGCTGAGAAGTCGGAACGATTTTCGAGAATTGAGGGTACGTCCCAGTATCAGCATGCCATTCATCCTCGACTCCCGACTGATTGATACTTACTACCAGGCGGAACCGGCGGCGCCGGCGGAGACAGTGGGCTCAGCGGGGACGGCGGGCCCGGCGAACGGGCGGCCTTGATGGGGGCGTTGCACTTCAGCGTCAACGTGCGGGCCAGAACCTCACGCTGGCGAAGTTCTGCGAGAAGTACACTATCGGGAAGACGACGTTTGATCTCTATCGGGAAGGCCACGTTTGAGCTGCTTCACCGGGCGGGGTTCGGGACGGCGGCGGGCCTGCTGGAGGTGTCGGATGATGATTTGGGGAGTGTGGGTTGGGGAAGGACATGTGGGCTGGGAAGGGACATGTTGGGGAGGTGAAGAGGGCGGTGAGGGAGTGGGCGTCGGTGTCGGTGGGGGGACAGAAGTAGTGGAGGGTGAGATGTTTCTGGGTTTTTTTTTCGTGCAGTTTTGTGTCAATGGATAGTCTTCGTGCGTGTAAAGAGCCGGACAACGTTGGGTTATGAAGGAGTGGACGAGCTCTTGCATGAACAGAGAACTAGGTTGTTTCCGTGAAAGATGTGAATATTTATTGTGATGTCCTGATATGCGAAGAGATCAATACACAAGTCCGCAGAAGTAAATACTATGGCGATGCACAAAATCCGGGAGTGGGTATGAATGGCCAGTGAGATGGGAGCACCACTGTGGAACCGAGGGCAAAAATAATAATAGGAGGAGACGAAGATCCAGGGCCAGACAGAGAGGAGAGGGATACAGATCCAGAAAGAGAGCAGAGAGATACAGATTAACCTGTCCAACGCGTTTATCAGAAGAAACGAAAAGAGAGAATAAAAACTTGAATACCGTGAATAAAACCGGAGAGATTCAACGGCGACGACAGGCGGATATCGCATCATACTCCGTCAACACCTCCTCGGAGACATCCAGCCAGGGATCGGCGTTCCCCGCTAGCTTCATCAATTGGGACATCCACTGCACCTCGGAGACGATGTCAAACCGGTCCCCAGCCCACACCCCACGGTGGAGCCCTGGATGCGGAACATCAGCAGACCCAACCGATGATCGGCAAATGCGCGACAACAGGAGTTCCCCGAGGCCCGTCGCCCCCGTGGGGTACGCCCAGCGTACTTTGCTTTCCGTGACGTACACGCGCCGCGATAAATTTCGAAGCACCTGCGGCGGGCGCTCGTCCGCCCACGAAGCGTTGACCCTCACCAGCGACTCGAATAAATATCTATCGCGCGGCGCGAGCTTGCCCTCGACTGCGGCGACAAGCATTGCGGAGAAGGTGGATTCGCGCGGCGGGGTGGAATATGGATACGAGAACAGGGTCGTTGGCGGCGGGCGGAAGAAATCGAAGATCTCCTGCTCGCTGAGACGCGCCAGGGCAGGTTGGCTGGGCGGATCGCGCCGCCGACGCAGATGATGCGGTCGCCGGCCCAGGAGCGGGCTGCCCTGAGCGAGGGCAAGCAGCGCGACAGATGATAGCGGGCGATGGCCCACATTCTCTGGCAAGTGAGACCGAGCCGTATGGCGTCAATGAGCTCTGCGTGCGTGCATGCAAAGATGTGCCCGATAAGCTCCGTTGGTAGTGCCATTAGTTTCGAGTTCCTTGAGTTATTGAACATCCTAACGGAAGTACGGGAGTCCATATGATACGTACCTTGCGCTACTGTAGTTCGGCTTGATTGCAGAGGCATTCGTACTGGATCAACGAAGAGCTTGCCCACAGAGGCGACGGTGAGATTGATCAGTAGTTCAGCCGCGTCGGTACTTTGAAACAAGAATTGACGCATCCCCCCAGTTCCCCCTTGACTTTGTCTCTTGTCCAGATTGACTATCTTCCAGTTTGTCCCGACATCGGTGACCTGAGAGACCAGGAGGAAGTGGGAAGGGAGAAGAAGCAAGAGCGACAGGACACAGCCTCGGGTCACAACAAACTCAAATACGTTACACCGCTTTTCTCAACCACGAGTTCAAGAGGAGATTCCAACCCACAGGTTAGCACCAAAGTTGTAGCTGTCAGCTGCGCATGATTAAGTGAACCCAATGCAAGGATATTACAACAATGGATGGGATTTCTCTGTGGCAGATATTCTTCACCACTGCCCGTGAAATTAATGGGGTCTCACGATCCATTTTGGCTGCGGCACTACAGCTCAGCTCGTTCAATGCCATCAACTGACACAGTCCAGAGAGTGCTTGATTGAACAACATTCAACTTGCATCCAATTCATCTGGCTCGCCACGCTCCATGATCTGAGCTCTTTGGGGGCCCGCTGTAGATCATAAGTATGATCATGTCTCTGGAATAATATATCTAGTTCCAACTCCTGGGTTGTATGGCATGTCGTTTCATTTTCCCCGCCCTGAATTATTTACGCAGTATTCTTCTGAGTCCGGAATTTCTACTGCCCACCTACACAACCTGCCATGCACCTCGCAATCGGTTGGTATCTTCTTTCACATGGCCGCATGGAGATGGATTGCGGAGAAAATTGGAAAGAGGTTTGAGAAGGAAAATTGAAAGTCTCGGCGACAAGAAAGGGAGAACAGAAAAGGTTTCCAGGGTGGCTATGGTCAGTGTGGGGGGTGTCATACTCATTGCAGAAGTGCAGAGAACACGAGGATCAGAACAAAAACAACATCACGGGTTGTTCATGGCCATCGTGGGGGTCGAACCCAAGACCTTCGCGTTATCACTGTAACAAGCAATATTAGCACGACGCTCTAACCAACTGAGCTAGACGGCCGCGGAGACAACCTTGGCTCGGCGTATTGAGGCGGCGTTGCGAGGTCTTTCGAGTCTTTTTGATCGCAAATCTGTTGAATAAATAATCCACTCTTTCTTGACTCTTTTTCTGATCACAGACCTGCACCCTCTGAATAGTAGATGCCAATATCAAGGATGCATACTGGCGCTTCGAGGTGGCCGTATCTTGTCTCCCAAAAGGGGACATTCACCTGATTTGTGCAAGTGTTTGGCTGTGAGAGACTGGTTTTAACCTGGCGCTGCGATTGAAGGAGGACTTGGAAACCATCAATTCCACCGCAATGATCAAGAGAATTCAATCTTCTATCTCTCCGAAGTAGTCGCTGAAGGTGGCACTAAAAGGATCACTAAGTAGTTCTAGCCTTTCTTGTTCGATACAGTTTGTACCAACAATTTCATCGAATGGGAGGTAAAACGGTCAAAATCTTCTGGAATCATCAGTGTAATATGGCGGTCTCAGAAGACGAAGCCATCGGGACCGACTGGGAAATTGATCTTTCACGAGGTCGAAGCTCTATCATAATGGTTGGCGGTGTGACGCAATCGTGGAGTTTAGGCATTGATTCTTGCCACGGTTCGAAATCGTACGGCCTCACGGTACATACGTGTTACGCGGTGAGTAAGAGCCCAATGTACATAATAAACATAGAAACGGTGAGTGAGCTTGTACATGTCTATTTGGTCACTTCACGCATCTTCAGACTAAAACCTAATATTGACTGACCGAACGTGCTCTTCGACTCATTCTGGCTGCGTTGAATCCCTCAATATGAGTTGTAAAAGTTATTTCTTGCGTAAATTCCATATCCAGTGCGACAAAAGTAAACAAAACTGGAGTCATTGTAAAAGTACAATTATATTGGTTCTTGATGCTGGGACACAGAAGCTAGGAGGAATGTAAGACATCTACAGCCACGTTTATCACATTTGCCGTAACTGCTCCTCCCGCGCGCGTTCAAGCACGCGCTGATGGCTTACACCCAGATGTTCCATCATCATCCTGAACCATATTTCAAAAAATCCCACCTCCTGAAAATCCACAAGGCTTCGATCCACAGGGAGCCACATCTTATTATGGGCGCCTGTGAGTTTGTCCGTGGCGACTGAGAGGTGCTTCCATATCACGCCGCTCGGCATGTGGCACGCCTCGAGCGTGGGCAACGGTCATGCCACAGATGTAGCAAGTCCCACTCGTGCATGAATCTTGGGATCCCGTAGGACACGCCCCGCATCACTCCAAAGAGCACCAACTCTTTCAGTCGGCGGAACGCCGGCAGTGCCTTGGTAAGTGCGGTCAAAAAAGCCTGGAGTGCAGGTAGGTAAGCAAGTATCAGATAGGAAATAGGACGAACCTGTTCTCGGCCCAACTTCTGCTGTCGACAAAGAACGCGGAACCGGAGGGAAAGTAGATCCGGCTGTGCTCTGACCAGCGCTTCCGGCGCACGAGGCTCCCAGTAGTCCATGATATTACACATCACGTTTATGGGGACGCTCACAAGTGCAAGCGAGGCGAGACAGCCACTGGGATCACTGTTGCGCAGGCTACGAAACTGCCACCGAATATTCGGGGTAGATACACGGGAGCCGGGAAGGACCGCAGCGGCCAGGACCTCCGGTCCGGCGAAGGCCTGCAGCAGGGGGAGATGGATGGGGTCGATCGGGACGCCGTCCTCTGGCCGACTCGGAACTCCTCTGACGTCGATATATTCCAGGGAGGGGTGGTTCCGGACGAAGAGGCCAATGTCGGCGGAGAAAGATGCAGTAAATGTACGCAGGCAAGGGAACAGGGAGGGGATAAGAAGAAGGTGGGGGAGGAGTGGAGCAGTGTTTAAAAGCTGTAGATTGACTATCTTGCTAAGAGTTCCGATAGCGGTGGCACAGGCGGCGGCACACTCGGGATCATCGTGCAGCGCAGACGGCACCCGGTGGGTATGCGATAGAGAGGGAGAGGAAGACGTTTCGAGCCCGCTACAGATTATTGTAAGAGATCGTAGCATGAGAGGGCTCATTGCCACTCACATTCTCAAAGCTTCGACCAAGTCTCGAAACACTGTCCCCGATCGTATCGTGGCACAGAATTTCACCACCGCGTCGGCGCTATACAGATAGACGATCTTGTAAATGAATCGGATGCACACAGCGTGGATGCGCCAATCCCCGACGTGACAGAGTGCAAGGCAATCCGAACGCCGCGTGTGTTGCACGATCTCCAAGAGGATTTCTGTCGGGAAGGCTGAGAATCCGGACGGGTTGCGCAGATTAGACATAGCAGAGCTGGGAGTGCCAGTGAGTGTGATGAGGGGGGACCAATGAAGGCTGCCACCGACACTTGAATGCGTATTTAAAGCCCGTGATTTCATTGTTGGGCCAGACTTCCAAATTCGGAAATGTGGCCCATGAAATAACAAAGCGGAAGGCCACAGTGTGTTATAAGGAACATACGCTGAATCAGACCACTCGAAGAGCCCAGTCTGTCGAACCCGATCTGTTCAAGAAACATCAACCAGTTTGAACACGTAGACTTGAAGGCGTCCTGGGTATGGATTTGATTCGCGGAATGTGACACACCAAAGAACGAGACCAGATTCTGAGCGCCGTCTAGATGAACCGATCGAATCACTTGTCGTTGGTCGCTGGTTCAATTTTCAGACACATTTGAAGGCGGAATTGAATACGTACTCAATTCGGCAATGCGACGAGAAACATTGGAGGCCAATGCGGGGGGGCTTCAGTGCGTTATAACCTCGGTGCCCCAAAAATATCGTCCAGAGAATCAAATCATGCGCGGAAGAGGTGTTATATCGACCAGCGCAGTCCTTTTAGTCTAACACGGACGTCAAACCAAAACACACGGCGGACAATCGCTTGTCCTTTTCCAAACTGGGCCAGTGCGTCCTTGCGGACGCCTCGACCACGTCCTTTTCTTAACTCCGGCCGCTTTGGCCTTTCGGCATTTCCCGCGACCACGCTGCAGCCTCGCGACAAAGCGCTAAGGACTTGATTCAAAGAGACTTTGTATTGATTAGATAGAATTGTATTTGCTTTGCTACAGGGAAGATATCTGAGCGCAAGACTGAAGTGAAGGGAATAAGGATAAGTGAAAAGTTGAGACATAGTCCTTGTGCTCGCAAACCACCGATCAAACGCGCCAGATCTGGTTTGCCAAGCAGGTGCTTCTCGCCGACGCGTCGGGACCTGATCTTTGCTTCAGCACCGAGCTCGACTACTACCACCGCTACGCTTATCAATAGTCGACACGCTCCTTACTTTCTTGGAAAAAACCTGTAGCATATTGTAGATAGATTAGCTTGCTGATTTCAGCGTGTAAATAACGTACCTCACTTGTATCATCGCAGTTGTCCTGGTAGATATGCCTGGCTTCAGACGTTTGAATCTCGCCATACACCCACGGCAATGAACTGACCTTTCGGGACAAATTAAAGTACAAGGTGGACGGTTCGCAAATTAAGGATCTTATCTAATTTTGATATCGAATCATTTGACAAGGACAAAGCTGGCATGATCCTCACCTTGTCCTTGACGTCCTGCACTCGAGTGGTCCTCCGTTATCCATCGAAATGGACGTGGATCCACAGGGCAGGAAGAACTATGTGTTGTGCCTCTGCCGCTCTCACGACTGTTGTAACCAAAACTGGGTTGCGAACGATGGGACAACAAAGAAAGGGGTATGGTATTCGAAGAGTACCAAAAAGGTCCACAGTAAGGAAGACGATAAGCTGGTGGCGTCTGGTCATTTGCCGGCGGTAAGACTCTGCGTGCTTTCAGCGAACGGGATACTGATTTGCATTCAGATTGAGACTCACAAAGCAGACACGTTGAAACCACCAGCACCAGAGGATAAGCGCCCAAGGGGTCTTGAAGCCGGGCTCGACGATGAAGACGTAGAAGAGGAAGATACAAGTTAGTTTGGTGACTGTCTTGAGTGCAAGGTGTTGATTTATTCTCCATTTCAGGCCCCGCAACCCGCCGTCGTCGTCTGACTTTTGTGGCTTGCACACTCGTGTCTTGGCTGCATATTATATGTGGTCTCAGTCGAGAGGCCAGCAGCGCGGTGCTTGCGGTCTTCGGTATCATGATCGCTATGTCTACCACATCAGACGCCGGATATAAAATTCCAAAAGATGTACGCACTGCGGTGAAGTACCTCTCGATTGACCCCGTCATCGAACGGACAATTTGCTGTCCTAAATGTTTTCGAGCGTATCCGTTGGAGGAACTACCACAGACTTGCCTCGCTCGACAGACCAGTCGTTCGCGGCCGTGCAACACTCCTCTCTGGGTGCAACGACAAACTCGTGCAGGCCCTAAAATTGTCCCTCGACGTCTATATTCCTCACAAAACTTCCAGAGCTGGCTCGCACATTTCCTGTCTCGACCTGGGATGGAGGACCTTCTTCGGAAATCCCATCTCCACCGACCGAATCCAGACAGGATGACATCCATTTGGGATAGCCCAGCATGGCAGAGTTTGGGGACCTTCACATCAGAGCCCAACAATCTTGTATTCAGCTTCTACATCGACTGGTTCAATCCCTTCATGAACAAAATCGCTGGGAAGTCAGCGTCCTGCGGAGCTATCATCGCAGTCTGTCTCAATCTTCCCTACGAGATGTGGCATCTCCAGGAAATGGCATTCTTTGTTGGCATAACACCTCCGCCCAAAGAACCCACTGTCACAACCATGGCCGAACTCCTCAAGCCGCCTGTGAAGCAGTTTCAGGAGATGTGGACCGGGAAGAAAGTGCCGACATACAACCACCCCGACGGCGACTTCTACCGGGTGGCGATCCTTGCTGCGATTGGTGATCTCTTGGCTCTCAAGAAGGCGCTAGGCGCAGCGGGTTGCGGGTCCCACAACTTTTGTTCCTATTGCAAACTCAAGCGCGCCGACATTGATCGCCTGGATCTCGAAAACTTTGAACCACGTGTCGGGTGGGAGGTCCTCCGTGCGGCTACCGA